AAAAAAAAAAAAAAAAAGTTACAAAGTAACACAAAGCCACAAGTAGCTTTAGTTCTTGAATTTGGAATACTAACAAAGTAACATAAGAAGAGGGGATGTTAGATCCCTGGGCCTGCCAAACCAACCCCATCTGTGGGGTGACTGAGAGCCTGTAATCCCAGCACTTGAGAGGCTGTAAACAGGAGAATCACTACTAGTCCAATCTAGTAGTGAGGCCCTGAACACCCTGTAAACCCTGGTAAGATTTATCAACAGAAAAATCTTTATGCGATTATTTTATTCTCATAAATTTCAAAATGTACTCAGAAATTGTTTATCTGAGCTTTTTTGGGCTTTAGCTTTTCTCACAAAATGTGGCCACTGTATTACATCCAGGGATCTACAGTGACTATCCTGTGAGCACAAGGTTTATTTTCCTTTGAGAAGTGAAAGGCAGCTCCCAACAACCAATGGCAAATTGTCGTGCTCTAAAGGGGAGAGTGCTGTTGACAGGGTTCCTGGGTGTGCTGTTAGGTTGAAGCAAGCGCTGCTGCTGTTCACCAGGTAGCTCTTAACTCTAGGAGACACTTCCAGGTCCTCGTCTTGGTCTAAGAACCCAATATTTATACCTTTAAATTGGTCACGCAAGGTCCAGAGGGTTGCCTGCACATGATTCTGGTAAGTGGTCGTTGTGTTAAGTAGGTCATGCATACCGGCCACGTTGAGTGCCAATTGTAGGAGTCACTCCAGGTCCTCGTCTCGGTCCAAGAAGCTAATATTTATGATCCCAAAGTTACGTTATTGGAATCCCATCAAGTTGATTCCAATCTACCACTTTCAATGCAACCCATGGCAAAAATAAAGACACTAAATTATAGTTTCAATCATCAGCGAGTCAAGGGGCTCTAAGTCAGCCACGAAGATGGCTTTCCGGAACCAAGAGAGAGACCCAGGGCCTCACCCGGTTTTATTCAGTGGGGAAGAGGCTTGAGGAGGATTGACGGAGAATTGTGGGAAGTTGGTGACTAGCAAGCTGAGCTAGGTGGGTGGCCTGCATTTACCTCTGCAATATGCAGAGAGAGTAATCGGCATTACATAGTATCTAATGTTTTGGGGGGTCTAGTGCTTCAGGTCTGATGTAGCCTTTCAAGCCCCAGGAGGTCACAGCCTCTGTCTCGAGGCTCAATCCCAGCTGGCAGCGCGGAGCATTAGCTCTACCACCCTGTCTTCACCTGGCTCACATTAAAGAGCAGCAGGTGTAGGTTACCAGGGAAACACGCACGCCACCTTCAGACACTATCACCAGCACCTCAGCTGGACCAGTACACATTGCTTAAGGCCAACTGAAGGATGAACAAAAGTCCTGGCCAGCTCTGTACAGAACAATACGAGGAAATAGGTCAGGCTCAGTCAAGATGGAGACAGCCGCTCTTCTTTCCAGGAGAGCTGCTCCAGTGGTCCTGCATATCTTACACCAGGGAAAATCTGGAGCGTCAGGCTTTGGTCACAGATAAGCAAAAATATTCACCCTCCAAAAAGTAGTAGACATAAGGTAACAAATGATCGTGTGTCTAACAACAGAGATGGTACACTGCTGTCTATGGGGACGTGACTGACCAGACATCTGCTCTGTAAAACTGTTGCAGGCAGCCGAGTTAGACAGAAATATTCTAGGCAGTCAGACAGGGCCAGGCCCGCAAGGAGACAAGATGGAAGACAAGGTGACTTAGCAACTTGGAAGAGACAGACACTCCCATATGGGCCACACCCAAAGACCAAGACAAAAAGATGAAGCACAGCTACATACTTCCCTAGGGATGGGCATTAGGGATTGATATCCTAAATAGTATCAATCAACTTGAAAGAGCCCAAATGAGTCACTAGCCCAACCCCCAACAGGAAGAGACCCTGTTCCGTATTCATGCCTGCTCGCTAAGTGACTCGCTTTCCCATTTGTTACTGGATTTAATCAATTTTACCTGAGCAATGGTGCTTGTAATCTCATTGGTTGACCTTAGTTTGGTCCCACCTCATGCCCGGCTAAGCAAGTTCCCATGTCTTCTCCACCACCTTAGACCCGCCTCACCACATGGTTTTCCTCTATAAAAATGCATGTAGGGGCCCAGGAGATGGCTCAGTAGAATAAGTGCTTGCCTGGCAAGCGCAAGGGTCTGAGTTCAATCCCTGGTACAAAAAAAAAAAAAAAAAAAGTCCGTGCAAGAGACAACTTCCCAGGGGGAACTACCCACTTGGGCCCCCCCTTCTGTCCCTCTTTCGGGACAGGAGCTTTCTTTCTCTCAATAAATATATTCTACTCATAACCTCTGTTTGTTCCTAAAATTCATTCTTCGGTTTTAGAGAACACGAACTTGTGCAGGTCAGGTTCAGGGGTCGTTTTTCCCTATGTCATTTGGAGGTTCCCTATATGGTTTGGAGGTCACTCACCTGAGACCAGTTTTTCTCCCTGTATCAAAACTGGTCAGTGCAGGTTATCTCTGATTGTCTGCTTTTTTCACTATTTGGTAATGGTTTAATTGCATTGATATAGGGATTCATGCAGAAGTTTGAAACTTTGCCCCAGTTGTGGCCTCACATTGTGCACGTGTGGTCAGCAGGAAAGACTCGTTCACCAGGACTTGAAAGCATTTGTGGGCTAAATCAGGGTTTCCAGGTGGGCACTGCTGATGTGAGGCTGGAGACTCCCTGGTGGTCAAGGGGTGTCCTGTGTCCTGAAAGGCCCCTGGCAGTGTCCCTGGCCTCTGCTGACTCCCTGTACCACATCAGCGGCACCTCAGGTGCGCCTACCTAAAATGCCTCCAGCCATTGTCAGCCACTGGGTTAGACTAATAGTCCTTAATGTAAGGTATGGCTAGTTGGTTTAATTTCATATCGTTTTTACTGCACTACAGATCAGAAAGTTAGTGGAATCCATGTTAAATAATCCTTTAAAGCATAAGGGAGATTGATCATACTTAGAAAATTCTGCTGAAACTACTGCAATTTGCTTTTGTTACGTTCAAAATTCAAGCCTTTAATATCTGACATTAAAAGTAAGCACGGGCTGCCTTATTTGCACAAACATTATATGCACAAACATTACCTTTCCTAAAACAAAAACAAAAAACTGCAAGTCTTCCATTAAGTTTTGGTTTGGCAAACTAAGAAATTAAGTTTCTAATTATATTTGAAAGCAATTATGTTCAGGGGACTGAAAAGGCATTAAACATACAGACTACTGAGGTACTCATCTAACAAACCGAACATAATTTAGTAGAAGACAGGAACTCATCGAGAATAGCAATGGAGAAGGGGGCGCGGGACGCGCGCGCGCGGGGGGGGGTCTGTAGCGTCCGCGCGTGCGCAGCGCGGCTCCCGGCGTCCCCAGCGCCGCAGAACCGGCCGCGCTTCCGGCCCAGATTGCCGGCAGTGCGCATGCGCCGGGGCGCAGGCGTCCAGGGAGGGGGCGTGTGCGGCCGCCGCCCCTACGCCTGCGCGGTGTCCGACCCGGCCGGAGGGTGCCGGCTGGAGTCGACGTCGTGCACTCCGGCAACGCCACCCTGGCTCGCTTTTCACTCCTCAGCGTGGAGTCGCGTCGCGTCCCCCTTAGCAGGCCTGTGGGGAGGTAAGAGCGCACTAGCCCTCAGGGCTGCCGTTTGACCTTTCCTAAGCCTGCTGCCCTCACGGCCGGCGAGCGGCCGCGGCACCCGCCGACCTCGGTAACCCAGCAGCCTGCGCTCGTGGTCACTGCTTGAGGAACTGGGGACCGGGCCGGGTCTGGGGGGGAAAGGAGGGGGCGGGGCGGGGCCTGGCACTGAGGGGCGGGGTCCGGCGCCGAGGAGCGCGATCCGGGGGCGGGGCCAGTGCTGGGGGCGGGGCCTGACGGCGGGGCGGGGCGGAAGTCGGCCGGGTCCCGACCCATTGGGTTCCGTTAGGCGCCGAGGTGCTCCAATGCCGCTTGCCTCCCCCTCGGTGGTCGGAGGGCCTGACTGAGCGCCTACGCCAGGGTGGCGGCGGAGCGCGGGGTTCCGTGCTCGGGTGTGCGTGTTGGTGTGCGGGCCAGGCCCAAGTGTGATGCTAAATTATTCTGTATGTTCATAGACTAATTTGTTGATTTGATTAGGTCATTTATTTGTGGGAGCGTGTCTCTTATTGACAGAGGTTTGATCCAATAAAATTATTTTTGTCTCCTCTGGATATTAAATTACATAGTGGTAAAAAAATGGAAAATTATAGTAAAGCGTAAGGAAAAGTAATCGTAATTCCAACATTAATCAACAGTTGCTTATATTTTAGTTTTTCTCCCTTCCGTCATTGTTTCCTTTCTTGGTTCCTTCCTTTGTCTCCTGCACTCTCAGCCCATTTATTTATTTATTTAGCGGTACCAGGGATTGAACTCAGGATCGCTTGCAGTCAAGCCCGTATTGTACTGAGCTGTCTCCCTGGCCCTTTATTTTTTATTTTGAAAAGGGAAGGGGTCTAGCAAAGTTGTCTGAGTGGCCTTGACCTTGTGATCCTTCTACCGCAGCCTGGCTAGGGGGGGCATTTTCTTAAGTAAATTGTTGAGCTCCTATATGCATACAGTTCGAGGTCTTGTTTTCCCTGTTCTCTTAGAATCCTCAAAATACTTGTTGTTATATTATATACCTAATTGGTGAAGCAAAATCTTTTGAAATAGTTGCACTACAGATAAAGCTGAGTTCCCACTTAATTCATAGTGTTACGTACTGTAGTAATGCTGCAGCTCATTTAACATGATTGTGGATAACCATATTTAAAAATTACGGAGCGCAAAAGAATTTTTGTTCCTTAGCGAAGCAAATTTGCCAACTTGGGAATTAAAACGCACAAAATTAAAAATAATGATGAAACCACTAAATATCAGTTACATTCTTATGTGTAAGCATATGTTCAACTTTAAAAGAAGCTGCTCAACTTTTTAAAATTATTCTTTGAATAGTTTATGTTTGTAGTATCTAATAATTTTGTTCATCTTGGGAAAAGGTACAAATACGAACCCCATCTTGATCGTTTGTGCTCCACTCTCTTCCCCTTAAGAGTTGTTCCCTCCCTTTCCTGCCACATTTCCTTTATTTTGCACTTTCAGTAATTTATGATTGGATCACTCAGAGACACCATGTAATAGTTAATCCTCTGTGTCATATTTATTGCATTTAGTATTATGGTCTCAAAATTCACCCGCCTTTCTACCAATATAAATATTTAACTAAAAAATAACCATGTCTTACAAAACAAAATGCAAGGGTAAGTGCGGCATTGATTTACACTTAGGCAAATCGCTTTTATTTTCTGGCTTTATAGAAACCAGATGAATTCTCCTTTTTGCCCTTCTGTTCAGTTTGAGCTGCTGTTGTGTTGAAGTTCAAACTGTAAGGAAACTCATCTTGTGGGACATGCAGTTGGAAAAGCAGAGTCCTGGAGACCTCGAGTGGCCCTTAGAGCTCAGTGGGGTCCTCAGACCACAGTTGGAGAAAGCTGATTTAACATTCTCGAAATAGCGTGCTGCTGTTCACAGTGTTCCACTGTTAGAAGCCGTGCAGCATTGAAAGTTCTTCGGAATAGGTCCTGCCCGGAAGCTGTTGTGTTGTGTGACGCTAGGCCGTGGCACATGGCACTTAACTCCACTTCATTTGTGTTTTGACAGACAGTGAACATAAACATTACTTGTGCTGCCTGTGTAATTACTTGTGCTGCCTGTGTAATTTTCTGTCATATTCCAGTGTTGATGTTTAGATTTTTTTTTTAGCTCATGATTTTTTTGTTTTTTTAGCTCATGATTTGTGAAATACCTTTGTATATGTATTTCCAGTGGTTTTCAATTATTTTCTTAAATTTCCAAAAAGAGAATTACTAGATCAAATTCTCATTAATACTTTGATAGTGCATGGAACAGTTTTACATGATCTTACTAGCTATATAGATACTACAGGTTCTTATTATCTTTTGTGTTGTAAGAAGACATACTATACTTTAAGAAAAATAACAAAGTTAATTTTCCTGTTTACAAACACATGCTTATCTTAAAAAGTAAGATAGCATACAGACATGCAGAGTAGCTTTCAGAGGCTTGCATACTCCTGTTCTCAAATGTATAACATTATTATGAGCAGTGTATATTTGTTCTTTCGTGTTTTTTCCTGTGCTTTTGCTAATACTGGTTTAAACAATTTATCTATAAAAATGTCCTTAAACAGTGTGCAGTGTGCTTTTCTGTGAAAGGCCCTGTCTGGGCAGTTTGGTTGCTTTGGCTGGCTTTGCAGTGCTGGACGAGTGTGACCTCTGTGTGCCGCCGCAGCCCCACAGGCTTGGGAAGTGAGTTGTGGTCTCCAGGGATTGACGTCTGCCCCTCTGTGTCCTCCTAGGAGCTCCTCTGCCTCAGCTGCCTGTTGCTGTTTCCAAATCTTTCCCTAGCAGGGCTCCTCCCCTACTCTGCAGCCTCTCCTGACTAGAGTTCACTGGGCCTCTTTCTCAGGATGCCCAGTCCGAAGTGGAGGCACAGTCCCCAGCCCTGTCCCAGTGGGCACTGGGCCCTCCCAGCCATGCAGGGGACTCCAGCCCGTGTCACTCCAGAACTGTGCCCGTGCCCTCTCCGCTGCCCTGTGTGAGCACCCTCACCCACTGCAGTTTACTCAGGAATCTTGTGTGTTACTACCATCTTTTTAGTTATGAAGAGTTTTTTAAAAGCATTCTTTATTATTTATTTTATTTTATTTACTTTTTTTTTTTCGGAACCAGGGATTGAACTCAGGTCCTTGTACTTACCAGGGAAGCGCTTATTCCACTGAGCCATCTCCCCGGTCCTAAAACCATTTTTTAAAAGAAAATATAAAGATTGGTTTGAAAATCTACGAGAACATAAATGGACACATTAGTAAAATTATGTGTACACATTCTTAATACACTCTTTAAAACAGATTTAAGGTTTACGTTTTCTTTGTGGTTTAGATTTCTTCACTGTGGTAAATTTCTGGTGCCAGAATATATCTTGGTTGATTGAAATGAGGAATATAGACAGTTTAAAAGCATTCCTTGTTAAAAGACTGCAATAAATAAGATTTGCATTGTATCTCTTACAGATTGATATGTTGTATTCTTATCCTTTGGGGTACTTCATAATGCTTAGTTGTGCATAATATGATATAAATAGAAATGCGATGTAAATAGATGCTATTTAATAAATTCCATCTTTTTTTAATTAATATTTTTTTGGTACCAGGGATTAAACTCAGGATTTTGTGCTTGCCAAGCAGGTGCTTAAGCTGCTGGGCTATCTCCCCGGACCTCCGTCATTTATTTTTTAAAAATGCTCTGGCTTTTGCTAGAGAGAGTATTTTGAGACCTTCTATTTCTTTATTTTCAGTTGCATGCTATATTCACAGATCTTTTACTGCATTTTACTACTATGCCTATTTCTGTTTTGTGGTACTAGGGATTGAACCTAGAAAGTGCTGAGTTACATCCCTAGTGCTGTTCATTTTCAACTTTTGAGAGAGTCTTAAGTTTCCCAGGTGGACCTTGAACTTGTGATCCTCCTGCCTCAGCCTCCTGAGTAGTGGAAGAACAGGTGTACACTACCACACCCCGCTGTTACCTCTATTTTATTTATTTATTTATTTGTGGAACCGGGGATTGAACTCAGGCCCTTCCACTTGCCAGGCAAGCACTTATTCTACTGAACTATCTCCCCAGCCCCTGTTACTTTTATTTTTAACGTGATGTTTATAAAAAAACCTGTACATCATTTAAAGAATCAATTCACTGCAGGTATAGAAGAAAAGTAAGTGTCCTGGCCAGAGCCCTTCCCAGCCTGCTCTCACTCCCCAAGCCCTGCCTTTCTGGCCCGTGCTCCTGTGAGTCACAGGGCACATAGAATGACTTGAGCACCTGTTTCTCAATGCTCCCGAGGATGCCAGCCTAGGAACCCTTTCTGTGCTTAGGACAGAAGTTAATCTGTTACCCAGAAGCAGTTGCCTGGGGCCGGTGGGCCTGGCTCTCCCCTTCGGACCCCGACTGGAAAGGCAGCTCCAGCCCAGTGCCCTTGCCGCTCTTCCCCACTCTAAGGGTTTAAACTCATTTAGGTGTAAGCTACCTTCTTCGCCAGGGCTTGCCCAGCCGTGGCTGTGGAAGTCATTTCAGGGTGCAGGTGGAAGTCGGGCTGGCCTTCAGTGCCACACTGCACCCTTCCCTCTCCTCTGCCCCCCCCCGCAAATTAATTAACTTTACTTCTCCCGTTGTGTTCACCTCGTTGTGATCCTGTAAATGTGTGTGGCTTTCCCAGTGAGTCTAAGTACCTCAGTTCTTTTCACATTTTTTTTCTCCTTTTTTTTTT